ATTCTGTACCCTAGTGTTTTTCGCAAAGCTAGCCCTCAATGGGGTGGTTTTATGCAATTTACTCCATGCAAGTTGCTACTGCTACTCCCTTCATTCTTAAACATACGACGTGTTGGCAGTTCAAAGTACAGTACAAAAGTGGTATCGACATACGACGTAGGTAGTAAAGTCGACGACGACCTTGAGTAATCGACCGGCTAACGACAGCTGCTGCGTCTCTTTCGGCGGGTCAACGGGGCCAAGTTGACTATCGTATCAGAGGTGACTTGTCGGCAAGAGTTGAGAACAAGTGCCAAAGCCCAGCCGCGATGCGTCCGTGGCAAGCCACCTACCAATCAATATGAATGACGTGCGTGCTCAGACAAAAAAAAGCAATATGAAGATGTTTTTTTTTTTGCATGGAAGCAATATGAAGATGTGAAGACAGAAACTGTGTCTATGTACCGAGTAGACGACAAACCTGCTGCAATCGAGCGAGAGAAACCATATCCCATCCATGTAAGAAATATACGCACAGGTCTAACCCCTATTCCTCGATCCTTTTCCGTGGTTCCGCTCACAATGATCCTATTCCAGTTACTTTCAAATTGTATAAACTGCAGATAAATGTCCAGATAAAATCTGTTTAAACGAAGACTCCAGGTTAACTTAACCAACCACAATCATTAGTAACCATCAAGGAGTTTCATCTGCAAACTGTCCTACAAGCATGTACGTGTGAGTCGCACGCTGAATTTGAATTACAATTCATGGAGCCAATCCCACAAACAACCTGGCTTTCCATAATATATGCTGTGCCCGGGCAAATATACATTTAGTACAATAAATATTCCAGCATTAATAAATATTGTTTCCAACATATATGTACCGGCTTTCATGAACAATATTCAAGTGCATCGGTAAATTCCATATCAAGGTAAACATATTCCAGGAACTATGTAGTATATATATATATATATATATATATATATATATATATATATAATGTTACAAGCCACACATAAGTATTTCCTACAATCCAGACTAACGAGCATCAACACACAGATGGCATGGTGAACCCCAAATAAAAGAAGAAGAAGCTACGATTGAGGTAGAGGCTCAGCGCCATGGTGCAAACTTGGACCGCCAGTCGCAAAACCAGTCATTCTCAACCCCTCTCTTCTTCCATTCAGCCGCTCTCCACCACAACCCCCCTCCTTTCGCTGCCGCCGCCGCATGGAGGACCCTTACAAAAATTTGTCGAAGTCAGTGGCGGAGGATCCGACAAAGGCAGCCGCCCACATGATCAAGTTGGCGACAAGGCAAGATCGTCGGCTCAGACAGAAGGCAAAGGCGGTGTCATTCAAGAAGCAGAAAGCTGGTGGAGGTGGTGGTCGTGCATGGGGAGGTCATGGTTGGGGAAGTGTAAGGGCCCGTGCATGCAACTACACCAGACCCCTCTCTCCCTCGCGTCGCCCTCTCGGGCGACTCGAGGGCCGAAAACCTAGCCCGCCGCCGCCGTCTCCTCCCCCGTCACCCCTCTCCTCGCCGCCGCCTGAGGCAGCCGCCGGCTTCGCCCGGGGCGCTGCTGATGATGGTGGCGGCGGGGCCTCTCCTGCTGCTCTGCATCTCTCGCGGGGGGCCTTGCGACCCGGGGCGGCGGCCCCGGCGGGATTGGCGCCACCAGACCCTCGGCGCATGGTGGCGCAGGTGCGGGCCGGTGCCCCTCGGCCGTGTGGACGGCGAGGCAGCCGGTGGATGCGCGCCAGGGCGTGGCGGCGGCGGCTTCGGCTCCGCGGCTCCAGATCTGGTCGCCCTCCACCCTCTTCGGTGGATTCGCAAGTCCTCCCCCCAGATCTGGCCGGCTCCATCCTGGACGCCGGTTTCTTCGCCGGGTGGGAGTGGGGACGGGAAGTTTGCCAGGAGAAATCCCTAGCCGCCTTGCTGGCTGTGACGGCGGCGACGCCCGCGGGCGCCGCGCACCTTCTTGGAGGCGCTGGTCAGGTATACCTTCCCCACCCCCTCCCCCTTGTCCTCCCGGGTGAAAACCCCAACGATGTTGGGCGGCGGCGACGCCCTTGGCGCCGTTTCCTTCTTGAAGGCGCTGCTTTGGGAGCAAGGTGGGAATTTGGTCTTCGCCGTGAGGTGTGCGGTGGGTGTCGGCGGCAGCAGTTATCTCAAGAGGTGCTGTGCTCCCCCTGGTGGTGGGCTGCTGCTCCTTCGTGCATCCTGGCAGCTCTCCTCTTGAATGCCCAAGTCTCTGGTTTTCGGTGTTGCTCTGCTCCAGGTGAGAAGTCGACGACAGGTCGCGTCTGCCTAATCCCAACCATGTGGATGCCATCGGTGCCACTCATCCAGGTTCTAGGGTGAACGTGTTCATTGTTGACGGTTCGGCGCCTTTCGAGCCAGGCGAGGAGGCAGGGGCCTTCTTCGACAATGGATCTGGATGGTGGTGCTTCCTGGCTGGTCCCAGATGTTGTGGCTAGGGCTGCCTCTTCGGTCATCTGATCTTCCTCTCCTGAGCCGGCATCCCCCTTCTCCTAGGCTTCGCGTGTGCAAGAGGCCTTGACATCCTCAAGCTTGGTGCTTCATGTAGATCCTTTTTTTCAGTTTGTTGTATGTCTGGCATGTGAGCTGCTCCCGGCACCATTGTATCTTGCCGTGTTTTCTTTTTATGGTTCTGTGTCGAGGTTGTACTCCAGAGTTTGTAATCCTGGCCGGTTGATGGCTTTGTTAATTCAAAGCCGGGCTCACCGTGAGCCTTCGTTCTAAAAAAAAGTGTAAGGGCCCGTCGTGGTGCTGGTGGCGGTTGTGGTGCAGGGCGGGGCTAGCCAGCGCCGCCGCCATCTTCTGTGTAGACGATGTCCTGGCCGGAGCACAAGGCTCCCTATTTCTGTGCTTCCCTAGCAGCTCGGTAAGCAACACATGCCTTTCTATGTCGATGTCAATGCGGCACCTCTTTTCTTGGAGGCTACATCACCGCAGCTTGTCCGGTCAGACACCGGGCATGGAGCAACTCAATGCCTGCACGCTATTCTTCGGTATGCCTCAAGCGGGGTGAGCCGGCATACAACGATGCAGATAGGCCGTTGTTTGAGTTAATCCATGACAAAGGTGGAGGCTACGAGGACGAGCATGTGGATGAATCAAAGTCCACGCAGTCGGGCGGGTACATCCAGTCCGACACTTACACCCAGTAGGGCACGCAGCCGGGCATGCACAAGCAGTCAGGCATGCAACCGGATTGGGCCACCGGGCAGCAGGAGCAGGAGGAGGGCGGCGGCGACGACCTAGATCCAGATGAATTTGTAGTCGATCCGAAGAAAAGGGGTAGAGGAGAAAGCTTCAACATGAGAGAGGGCGAGTTTTTGTGCGATGTGTGGTTGACCACTAGCATCGATCTGATCCATGGCGCAGAGAAAAAGGGCTCAACATTTTGGGCCAACATTCACACGTTGGTTCCATGAGCGCAAGCATTTCAAGCCCTATGCCGGCGAACTCTTCTGCAACAGATTGATGCAGTCTCATAGCCATGGATGGTACATCATTCAAGGGTCCGTGTCCAAGTATTGCGGGCGTTTGAAGCAACTCATCGCGCCCTGCCTAAATCTCCGAGCAAGTAAGTGTGTTGGTCATTTTGCAGGATATGCAACTTGTTGACCGGATATGCTCTATGTTTTGGTCATTTGGCCGGATTGGATATGCAAATTGTTGGCCAGGTATACTCCATGTTTTGAACATTTGGCCAGATCGGATATGCATATCGTTGCCAATGTTTTACTTTATAGCCTCCTCGTACATGGACTTTGTTCTTGGCGCTGGAGAAGAAGAATTTCGTCCTCATGCATTGTTGGCTGAAGTTGAACGGGTAACCCAAGTGGAATGTGTTCATTGCCAACTCCACCAAGACCGCCGGTATCAGCACTGAGGAAGAAACGGATGATCCAACAGAAGAGCCATCGAAGAAGATTAGGAGAGGGTTTCCGAGGAAAGAAGTGGGAGGAGAAGAAGGTGAAGCTAGAAGGGATGGCAGCCAAGATGACGGAGAGGTTCGTGGACATCTCGACGAAGAATGAGTAGACATATATCAAGCGCTCCGATATGAAGGAGACATGTAAGGCGGAGAGGTTTAACATGTTTGATGGTTGTGACCGAGAAGAAGCTCAAGCTTGAAGAGAAGAAGGTTCATGTCGCAACCACTTCGGAGAAGGTGAAGATGTTGACATTGAAGATGGATGAGTCGGATGACAAGGCAAGAATAATCGTACAAGCCGTTCATTTTGAAGATGTTAAGTAGGGAGTAAATAAGATCTGTTTGGGCGTGAGAATCAAACTAGAGGTTGATTGCTCAAGAGCACACGTGGATTATTAAAGCCCTTTGTACGTCAATCACAATCACCTTGGACGTCGTTGTCAACCCAACTCGACTGCGACAATCCGCGAACCAACCTGTGGTTGGATGGTTAGAGGGACTGTGGTATTCCCAGCCCACCAGGATTCAAATCCTGGTGCTCGCATTTACTCCTGGATTTATTTCAGAATTTCCGGCGATGCGCATTCAGTGGAGGAGACGTTTCCGTGCGCCTACGGTGACTTCGTAAATCTCAAGATGAAATGCCGGCTCGGTCTTTCGGAGGTGCTCATAGGGGTAGGGTGTGCGTGTGTGCGCTCATAGAGATGAGTATATGCGCGTGTATATGAGCGCTTGTGTCTGTACTGATGTTAAAAAAAAACTGCGACAATCCCATGGAACGGGATAAGCCTCTCCTCTTTTTTTTCTCCCTTCGATTCGACACCTTTCGAGAGAAAGATTAAAAGGGATGGGATAAAACCCATCTGCTAGTCGGTTACGCCCACGTGGCGCCACGCCGCTATATACGCGGCCCGAACCGCCGCTAGCCCGGAACAGAACCCCGTTCGCCACGGTTGCGACTTGTTTCGAGGGTCAGAGCGCCGAAGAGTAGGGGAGAGTCCAAACTTCTTCTCGAACCACCATAGAGACGGAGAGAGAGATAGCGGCGATGGCGACCAGGGAGGCGAAGGCGACCAAGGAGGCGAAGGTGGTTCCCGCCGGCGACGCCGACGCCGACGGCGAGGAGCTGGTCCCGGCGCTGGCCTCGCTCGAGCCGGTGTACGGCGCGGGGCCGGCGCTCGACGAGGCCCGCCTCCGCTTCGCCCGCCTCGCCGACCGCTTCCGCGCCCTCTACTCCGCCGGCCCCGCCCTCTTCGCCCGCTCCCCAGGTCTGTTGGTTAGCGTGGCGGTGCACGTGATTTAGGCGAGATTTGCTGATGCGTGGTGCGTGCAGGGAGGGTGAATCTCATCGGGGAGCACATCGACTACGAGGGCTACTCGGTGCTGCCCATGGCCATCCGCCAGGACATGATCGTCGCCATCCGCAGGGCCGACGCCGGCCTCGTCCGCGTCGCCAATGTCGACGACAAGTACGCCACCTGCGTCTACCCCGCCGACCCGGACAAGGTAGTAAACCAAGTCAATCCTCCGCTCCGCTCCGCCCTGCTCTGCTCTGCTCTGCTCTCAGATCGGATTCCCGAATATTCCCCTTCACGCAACGCCGTGATTCAAGGGGATGGGTTGCTATCCAATCCGCCCAAAAACAGAAAAAGCCGAGGTTTCTGTTCCAGCCGCGCACCTAATTTTTTATTATCATAAAATTATTTTGTTCTGCTGCGGAGGGAGGTAGGGCACGCGAATCTCGTTCCTAACTAACTAATGGTGCGGCGGGCGGTTGCATTATCATCATGATCTTGTGGATAACAGAAAGTCCGTGATGCGTGCCATGGACCAGTTCCGTGTCATGCCCGTGAACTCGATAATTTTTAGTATTTGTGATCCCTATCCACTGTTGGCTCACTGGCGTGTGGAGCCTCCTGTGCAACAGATGCTGTTCCCTGCCTCAGATGGCCAATCGAGGACTGACTAGCAAGGAGGTGCTGGAATCGATCAGTTTTACTTCGATATTACTTTGACGGTTTGACTTTTGGTTTACCTGGCAATTTTGTTCACAACACTGAACACTTTGGAGGGATACATGTTCAAATTTAGACGGGTCTTTCAAATTGGAATGCAGAACAATGCGAGGTGTGCAATAAATAGATTGCCCGATGCAGCAAATGCAACCGGAGTTTGTTGAATCAGAACAACTGCGGATAAATAAAATAAGCCTGTCGTGCTTGAGAATCAAAACAAAATAAGCGTGCCTTTCTTCTATTTTATTCAGAATCATTTGGAACAGATTCTCGTAGCACTGGTGGCATCAGATTTGCTTTTGTCCATGTTGCTATCTGTCGTCAGCCTCACTTACATGATTCTTTCTGTATGTCACCTTTGATTCAGTCATTGATTGGTAAGCATTTGTCGTGCAGGAAATTGACATCAAGAACCACAAATGGGGCCACTACTTTATGTGTGGGTAAGTTTAGCTACTTACTGGTAAAGTCGTTGCTCTGTTTATTTCATTTGCTTGATTGTTTAATCCTCTGTCTGCAGATACAAGGGAGTATACGAATATGCTAGGTCGAAAGGGATAGATATGGGTGAACCTGTTGCTCTTGATGTTGTTGTTGATGGCACAGTCCCTCAAGGTATCACAGGGGAATTTGGTTATGAGTTTTATGGTTACCATGAGTGATATCATGTGTACCAAAGTTTGTAATGTTTGTGTGTTGCTCTTACTCAGGATCTGGACTTTCAAGCTCAGCCGCATTTGTCTGTTCAGCAACAATTGCTATCATGGGAATTCTCGGGAAAAACTTCCCAAAGGTATTCTTTACCACAAATCAAACATTGCTGTAATCCCTGTTCACATATGAAAGGACAACTGACTATTGATCAAAGGTGAACCTTTCATTGATGCAAGCTTTTGATGGAGGCTTCAAGCTTAAGGAATCGTTCTCAAATAATTGCCACTATAAACCAAAACACTATATATAATATAAGGATGACATGGATGACACAAGTTGATAAACTTTTCAGGTTCTGGAAAATTGATAATCTAATTCCAAATTTGACCCTGAACAAGCGCATCTTTTCTTTCTGCGTCAAATGGACATGCAATGTTTACCTTATGAAAGAAAATAGACATGCTCTGAGGTAGTTCTGTTGTAACAGATGTGTTATCCTTTCACACTAGTATAATAAATACTTGACTAGTACAAAATGTGGCGATAAAAATGATTTTGGCGGTGCCAAATTGTTGCAGAATTGCTGTTATCAATATGATTTCCTATGGAATTAGTAACTAGGTGTTTCCAAAAACATTTATCCACTTTTTTGGTGTGTTCACGAACAAGGTTCTTGTGATTTTTTTCCTTATTTCTAATTGTGCCATTCAAATATGCAGAAAGAAGTCGCTCAATTTACTTGTCAATCTGAGCGTCATATTGGGACACAGTCAGGTGGTATGGATCAGGTAATTGACACCATACTGTATATGGGAAACTCCCTATTTTCCTGTTCTGCCTAATTTATGCCATTTAAGTAAAATCAAAATAATTTGGTAGGATAAAGAAAGTCCTTCTATGGAACTAGTGGGTAGGACAGTATCTGTACCGATTTCCTTCAGCAAATATCTTTTACATTCAGTAAATATATATTGTACCTGTACTGGGACACCACAGAACAATCCTAGCAGCAGGTGTAATGTTTGGTATGGCTTATTCTTTGCAGAATAAGAAGGTTTAGCTTTATGTTCCAATATCCTTTTTGGAAATCATGCTTACATGCAAAAAGTAATGTGATCCACCCTTGATATTATTTACAAGAGGAAGAGTTACACTGTTAAATCTTATAGAACTTGATATGTGACTGCAAGTTTGATTCACACTGTTTAAGAAGCTTTGGATCATCTTTTATTGTTGTTGAGTTCTTTACTTCACTATATTTTTCCAGGCTATATCTATCATGGCCAAACCTGGATTTGCTGAGTTGATAGATTTCAATCCAATCAAAGCAACCGATGTGCAACTACCCTCTGGTGGTACATTTGTGATTGCTCACTGCTTGGCAGAGTCCAAGAAAGCAGAAACAGCTGCTACAAACTACAACAACCGTGTTGTAGAGTGTCGCTTGGCAGCGGTAAGAGATTCTTTGGTTCCAAAGTGAGCATGTAAACAAATTAAGGATGATTACACAATACATTCTATTGCACATGTACCGCTAGACAGCTATAATGCATTTCTTGTTTTTAATTGAATGTCTTAAAGAGTATGGAAGGTCGTAAATGCTTTGCCACTGTATCTCTGCAAGCAACTCTGGAACATATGTAGTTCTATCTGGAGAATGTTTTTCGCTGTTCTCAGTTTTTGTTGTTAACTGTGGAAAAACAACTTGAGACATACATCTTCATTTATCATCTATTGAGATAATATTTCTCTGTTGCGTTTTTACAGATTGTTCTCGCCATCAAACTAGGGATGGATACAAAAAAGGCCGTCACGTCTGTTACAACCCTCTCTGATGTTGAGGGGCTATGCGTCTCCTTTGCTGGCAAAGAAGGTTCTTCTGATCCCGGAGTTGCTGTGAAGGTACAGAATCTTACTAAGAATTTAGGATATGGCCGAGGAAGATGTGCTTTTGCATACAATGAATACGTGTGCTGCTTTCATTTTCTCTGTGCACGCCTATGTTGCAGCAGATAGATACATTTGTATACGGCAGGACATAATATGGATAACTGCAATCCACAATTTCATAAAATTCCAGTATGGAGAATTACAGAGCTACAGTATGTTAAGCTGATAGTATGCATCAGTAGCATAACCAGAGAACGCAAATCATGACCTATAAGATCATAAACCAAGAAAAATGTATAATTGATACATCGGATTTAACATACAAACATCTAGTCGTCATCAAACACACAAAGAAAGGTAGGTGCTGGCAGTGGGTTAGGCATCTAAATTTTTGGCGGTACAATTCATCTTAATTCTACAGAGAATACAGACAAACATAGGATGTGATGATAGCGTGATAAAAGCAAAAACTGGATATGATTCCCATATTCACATATTCCCGGTGTCCTTGGGTGTATTTTTCCTGCCAATTTACAGCACCTATATCTATTTGTGGTTCAGCTATCAAAATTTCAGTGAAGCTCTTGATGTCTTTGTGATCACAACTATGTTCCTTTTGGAGTTTTTGTCAGCTAACATACGAGCAAATAATTCTAAATTTGCTAACATACGAGCAAATTTTTCTAAATTCTTAAGTACAACATATAGCTGTCAAAATTGGCGAGGATGCAAATGCTGGAGGTTTGCTGTTAAAAAGTTCCTTCTGCCAAATTACTGCGAAGCCTGGGTGAACCATCTTTGATTGTGCAGTTATCTTAATCGTTCCTAGTTAGAGATGTCAGCACTTGCCTGGGTTGCCATTAGTGCTGCCAAATGGTGAAATTTGGATCTTTGAAGTATGCTTCGAGAGCTGCTTTTGTTGCAACAGAGCTTCTATGCCATACTTGTTCTTGTTTATAAATAAATAAACTTTGGTACTAAGGATAAGAATTTTATTATCCCTAGTTATACATATTATCCAGGAAAGAAGTGCTGGTTTGCAACAGTAAATATTTCTCATGTTTTGTTTTTACCTTACACTTCTCTGATCAGTGTGCAACTCTGCAGAAGCTATTGCATGAGGAGCCATATACGTTGGAGGAAATAGAGAAAATTACAGGTCAAAGCCTAGCAACTGTCTTCCAAAGCTCTCAAACTTCCTTGGATGTTTTGAGAGCTGCGAAGCATTTCAAGTTATTTCAGGTGAATTATACTTCATTGTTCTGTATTTCCTTACATACATCAATGAAGATACATATCGCTCCCTACTTAGTTTTGGAGACTCAGAAGTTCCCTCCTTCCCCAACACTCTATTTTGGCACCATTCCATGTCAGCACAACTTATCCTCTTTTTCACCTAAAGTACACACTCTCTTCGCAAGTCTAGCAAACTTTAGTTTACTTCAGTCTTGTGTAACTAAAGATTGATTTTCTCTTTGTTGTATGATGCTAGATTATCTAGTCTAGTTTCCTAACGTGTGTGTAATTTCAGCGTGCCTCTCATGTGTACTCTGAAGCAAGGCGGGTGTACGCATTTAGGGATACTGTATTATCGAAACTCAGGTAGAGTTAATTTATTTCAACTTCAGTCACCATGTATTATTCTTTGCATATACCCTCATCATAGTTGACCTGGGTAAAGTGTGCTTGACCTGTTATACCCAGCATTTTCCTTCTAATCTCGGTGATACGGCACTGACCATTACTTTGCTTGCAGCGACGAAGGTATGCTTAAGAAGCTCGGTGATCTAATGAACGATAGCCATCATAGCTGCAGTGTGCTGTATGAATGCAGGTATGTGTTTGGTGTACTCTGTTATTTATTAAAATCCAGGCACTCATGTGTCATGAAACAGCTTTTTGTTAACAATTAATTAATGAGCATACTGTTGTATTCCTCTGCATTAGCTGTCCCGAGTTGGAAGAGCTTGTGAAAGTGTGCCGGGACAACGGGGCACTCGGAGCGCGGCTCACAGGAGCCGGGTGGGGCGGCTGCGCAGTCGCCCTGGTCAAGGAGGGCATCGTCCCACAGTTCATCCTCAATTTGAAGGTACGCTGGAATCCCTCAGCTCATCTAGAACCAGTGACATCATCCAAACTGGGCAGCCAATGCACAATGCTGTCGCTATCCCTTTTAACCGACCCTCAACCTGTAACAAGGCGACGGCGGTAAAGTATAAAAGTATCAGTCGTTGCAACTAAAACGGATTGTTTTCCCTCTCTGCAGGAGAAGTACTACAAATCAAGGGTCGACAGGGGAGTGATCAAGCAGAGCGACCTTGGCCTGTATGTGTTTGCGTCGAAGCCGTCGAGCGGCGCAGCCATACTGAGGCTGTAGATCGACCACCGCCGGCCGTGGTCGGTCGCTTGTACATGCACACATACCTATTGCTCGAATAAACGCGTGCTCGAGGCGAGCACGCTGCCATTAGCTAATTTAGTGCCCGCGTGTCTGAATGTACAATACTAGTACAATGTGTAGTATTTATCTCTGTTTATTATGGGCGATCTGACTGCCAGGTTATCTACATATGCTGCTGTTGGTCCTCTCTAAGAGGCACGGAGTCCCGATGGTTGATGCATCGTTTTTGTTGTTGTTGAGGTGTGGTTACATGACCTGACACTCACGTCGACTAGCTGAGAACGACGGGAGAGCTGCAGAGAGGACAACAACAGGAACAACAAAGCACCACCAGATACCTTTTTTTCTTTTGAATGTTGGCAGGAGAGCTGCAAAATCCATGGATTAGTAGTATAAAGTATAAAGGGGACTTGTAAGTAGCGCCACTGAGGAATGCACCGGAGAAGGCGAGAGCAAAAAAAGAAGGGAAGAAAAGGGACCTAAACATCTTCTAGCTAGACTGGCCCAAAGAACCACATTGCATACTGCGCGCCAGAAGGTAGCACCCACAACACATCCGGTCAAGCACTCAAGCGCCTACGCCGCTACCAAAGTGCACATATCCGTGAAACTCAACGACATCAAAGAGGAACCCTCTGTCCAATATAGCAAACATATGCCACTCCGATCCCGCAAGATTGGCTAATATAACTCGCCCGATGCACATTGCATGTCCAGGTTGCTTCTGCTGCTCACACAGAGAGGTCACACAAGCTGCTGCTGACCATCTCTACTAGCCCTCTGACCGAGTCCAACTCCAAGACAAAGACCCCAAGAGGAAACAGGGCACCATGCAAAGCCAGAAACGTCGTCATCGTCCGATTAGGGAGATTGGATGTAGGGTTTTCCCCATAGC